AGATTTTTCTCTCTTAGCAGCTTGCATGGTATCCTCTAGAACTATGAGCGATAAACTTTAGGTAGAAGGCTTCCAGGTCAGTTCCTGCTTCATTGCCCCAAGTCCTGCATCTAAAGTATGTCCTGTCTTAAGCTAATAGGGTCTTATCTCCCAGTTTGGGGAGATAACCAAGAACTCTGCAATAGCCTGTGTTATTTTGGGAGTCTCTTGGACTACTCTGACCAACCACCCCAAGGGAGGTCTTTCCTGTCTGGCGCTGTGTTCTTGCAGAGTGTGTGTCTCTGGATAAGATTGTGTATTAAACCTCACCCACCCACAGCTCAGGGACCATTGTGGAAGAGGGAGTGGAGCCAGGGCTGGTTGATGAACACGGGGCAGTAGAGGCTTCCAGGCCACTGGAAGCTTACATGTGAATTTTCAGCAATGGTGGCATCAGGCACAGGACCCATGCCAACTCATTCAGACAAGGGCCCAGAATGGAGCAAGGGAAATGGGCAGCAGGCCGGCCCTGGTCTGGGTACTGGTAGAGACAACTTAATGGTAATGATAGATAATAGACTATAACTAGCTAGCTGGTAAACTAGCTAGCTTGGTAGATTATATGGGGACAGGTAAATAGACCATAGATAGATGACAGATGATAGATATATAGGTAGATGATACATCTATTGATATGGATATGGAGGTGGATAAAGGTTTGATATATGATATACCTGTATATTTATATTTACCTTCTTCTTAAAATGCCTGTGTGCCCACAGTTCTGTTGTGGCAGTAATCGGAATCAGAGTCCCTAATTCCCAATTGAATGTGCTTTCTGTCACAACACAGCACACTTAGAAACCTTAGGCTTTGAGAGAACCCCTTCACATCACATTCAGTATTTCCTCACGGTTGTCTTTCATTCTTCTCTGTTTTTTCTTTGTTTGTTTGTTTGTTTTTTAGAGTCAGGGTCTCCCTGTGTAACCACAGGTGGCTTAGAACTCTCTATGTAGACTACCCCAGGCTGGCCTGGATCTCGAAGAGACCCACCTACCTCTGCCTCCTGAGTGCTGGGATTAGAGGCATGTGCACGGCCTCAACGGTCAGCACACCACTTCAGTTCCCCAGCCGCTGCCGCATTGCATAACGTTTAATGTTTGCTGCACACTTGTAACGTTTTTCACTGTAAAAGAGGAAGGCGCTTCAGGGAAGTTTTAAGACTAACACAAGAAAGGAAGTTCATTGCAGTCACTTTCCTGGAACACAGTCACACATGGTGCTTTTTCAGACCCAAAGTCTCTTCACTTGACTTTTTGTTTGTTTTTGCTGTTGTTATTCTGAGACCGCTGTAGCTCCAGCTGTTCTGGAACTCAGTGTAGATGAGGCCGGCCTCCATCTCATAAGGATCCACCTGCCTCTGCCTCCCTAGTGCTGGGATTAAAAGCGTGCACCATTGTGCTTTGCTAAGTCTTTTCATTTGAAAAGGAAAGAACTATGCCACAGGTACCACAGGCTTTCTCTGTTAAGGACCAGGAAATAGAGACTTCTGGCTCTGAGGGCCACATGGCCTCTGCCCTCACAGGTCAGCTCTGCCTTTATCATGAAAACAGAGTATGTGAATGAGCAAGGGTGGCTGTCTTCCCATAGAACTAATGGACGTTGAAATTTGAACTTTATATATCAACAAATCTTCTTGATTTTTTTTCATACTCTGCCAATGCGAAAGCATTCCCCAGTTTCCAGGTTATACCTGAACTAACAGACTATATATGTAATATATATATGTAATTTATTTTTGTTATATGTGCATGAGTATATTGCCTGCATATGTAAAGTGCATCTGTGCTATGCACTGCCTGTGAAGGTCAGAAGAGAGCATCAGATCTCCTGGAACTGGAGTTACAGTTGTGAGCCACCATGTGGGTATTGGAAACCAAACCTGGGTCCTCTGCAAGAGCAGACAGTGCTCTTATCCACTGAGCCAACTTGCTAGTCCCAAGTTAGAGTTGATCCTGTCACTATGTTTTGTCTATTGTTGCTAGACATGATAAATTCTAGTATTCGTGGTTTAATGATATTTCACTTATTTCTTTTCTCTTTTCTTCCCCTTCCCTTACAGGGCATAAAAGAAATAGTAAATCCTTTCAGTGCAAGAAAATGGGTGGCGCTTGCAAGAGCCAGAAGACCCACGGGTGCTCCATCCTGCCTGTAGAATGCAGAAGTCGGTTCAAACACTGCTGCCGACTGTAGCTGCAGCTCTAAAATAAGCAGCGCAGAGTGAGAGACACGCCTGCCCTTCTGTGTAATAAAGGCCTCGCCTTGAGCATCTGCTTTTTTTATGGAAGGTGCAAAATTTAGAGGAAAAGCCAGTGAGCTAGACCAGGGAGGCTGTGCTGCCAGTGGCTGGCTCAAGGTTGGTCTTTCTAGGTTCTTAGCCTCTTATTCAAGGAACTGAAGAAGCCCACACAGATTTACAGACCTATCAAGGAAACTTATTTAAAGCAGAACAGTAGCAAAGATCAGAACACACTGCAAGGGAGCACTGGGCCTAAGAGTGAAGATACTCAGAGGCACCGGGTTCCTGCCCACTGTCTCTTTTTGTGGAGTCTAAAGGAAGAAAGGGTGTATTCCGAGTGATTCTCTATTTTGATTGATAGATTAGGTCATATTTTCATTTTCTACTGTGTATATGTCCATTCCCATAATGCATCTGACTGTAATACTATGCAAGCCCAATCATGCATTGACATAAGATGGTGAATAGTGAGAGGTTTCTCCGTAAAAGTTCACTTGGAGGACACAGTTTGTTTTACTATGCAGTATACCCAAAACTGGTTCAGGCCTGATTGGCATTTCCCTTCTTAGTGCCTGGATGCATCTGGGAGTACATTTGGACAAATACTGTATAAGTTTGACTATTTTAGGGAAAGAGAAACTTATCCCATTATTTACAAAGTGGTTTGTATATAGCTTAATGCAGATGCGGGTTCTCAGGCAGCTAGGTAAATTTTTTGGAGAGGGGTGTGTGTGCACAGTACATGCAGGTAAAGAAACGAGACTTCCAAGCACAGTATTAAAAGTTTAGGGGTGGGTAACCCAATCCAAGTAGAGTCCCGAGTTACTAAACTATTTTCTGTGCTTGCCTGGATCAAATTTAGGTTCTCTATTTGATTATACACTAGCTACATAATCGACTTTTTCTTTTAGTTTAGTTTTATTTCGAAGGCAGAGTCTTGCCTCATATCCAAGGGGGACCTTGAACTCCTGATCTTCCTGCTTCTTACATCCTGAGTGTTTCAGTTATAGGGGTGAGTACTATACCTAGTTTATATGGTGCTGGGGAGCTGAGTCCAGGGCTTCACGGAAGTTAAGTAAGCAGTCTATTCGGTGAGCTACATCCCCATCCCCCAAATCTCAGTTTCTAAGCCTGTAATGACTGAATTGAACATTTTACAAGATACCTATAAACTGCAACGTGACTATAAATGCTAGATTTTAGAAACCCACAGATTTAGAACTCTGAGATTACCAAAATGAACCCACTGATTTATGGAGGACTACGGTGGAGGAGAGAGAGAGAAAGAGAGAGAGAGAGAGAGAGAGAGAGAGAGAGAATTGATTTATGGAGGACTAAGGTGGAGGAGAGAGAGAGAAAGAGAGAGAGAGACAGAGAGAGAGAGAGAGAGAAGAGAGAAAGAGAGAGATTATTTTACTGTCTCCAAAGATGCCTTCACAAACAGATTTCTTTAAACTCATGGAAACCTCAGTACAGCTAAAGTTTGGCTTTTCCAGAGCACATCAATGGAAAAGGTAAGGTTTCAGGGGAGAAATGCTGACCCGAGGATCCTGATCTGAGGATGGAGGCTGCTGTCTTTACAATACTGATATAATTAGCATGTGCTTTTGGTCAGATATGCTGAGAAAGGCTTTCCATGTTCTAATCATGAAAATATCAGAAAAATACAAATTGAGGAATATTCTCCAAAGTGCCTTCATGATATGTCTTCCAATCGTCAGGTAATTAGATAACAAATATAAAAGTTTATGTTAGATACTCAGAAAACCTGATGCCTCAATGCAGTATGTCATCCTGGATGAGTGTTTAAAGTGGAAGAATCCAAATTAAAAGTCCAAATAGAGAACGGAGTTTAGTTTATAATAATGCACCAAGATTAGTTATTAGCTATGAAACAAGGAAATACTGGGGGCAGATGGGACTTTTATACTATCATAACTTTTCTGTATACTGACAACTATTTAGACTTAAATCCAAGTTTATTTAAATATTCAAAGAGTGAATGTATGTGTGGGTGTGGATGCGCACAAGAAAGAGACCCAACTCAAGTGCTCGTAAAAGTGAAAATTGCTCAAGGGACTGGGGTGATGGCTCAGCAGTTAAAGTGCTTTCTGAGAAAGTGTATGGATTGGCGTTTAGCTTCACACATGTAAAAACTGGGCAGGTGTGCTGGCCACCTGAAATTCCAGCACGTGGAAGGCAGAGACAGGCTATTCCCAGAGCAAGTCGAATGACCACACTAACCAAAACAGGGAGTTTGAGTCTACTTCAAATAAGGTAGAGAGCAATGAAGACACCTAGTCAGCCTCTGGCCTCTACGTGTAAACACACACACACACGCATGCACGCACATGTGCTTGCACATCCAAAGGCATGTGAACACACCTACACATATACATACCCTATACATGTACAGAGCAAGTAAATTAATGTGCAAAATGAGTAAGAAAACGAAAGCTGATCAAAAAAACCCTAAGAAATCAAGCCCATGTATACCCAGACCCCAGCCGGTCTGAGAGATTTCGATCACTGTATCTGAAGACGTAGTTAGGATGGTTTTTAACGCCATTTGAATTTATGTTGCTGCTAGGATAGGCAGAGGGGGGAGTTTACCAGAATGGCTACAAATGAAGCCTCCACAGGCTGCACTGAACCCCACTGGCTGATGTTCAACTTCCTCTTTCTTTGATACCCCTGGCATCTCTATCTTGCGCCCTCTCCATCTGTAATGCCCTGATATGTCTGCTCAATGCTTAACTGGTGTCCACACTTTGAATGTTGGTGCATGAGGGTTCCAACTTCCTCAGGCTCTCCTCTCCTGCTTTAGTGCTCTCATGGGTGAATATGGCTTAAATAGGGGGGCTGGAGAGATGGCTCAGTGATTAAGAGCATTGGCTGTTCTTGCAAAGGATCCAGGTTTGAGTCCCAGCTCCCACATGATGAGTAACAACCATCTATAATTCCAGTTACAGGGGCTCCAACACCCCCTTCTGACCTCCACAGGCATTATATGCCACACAGGATGAATCTGTCTCCCAAATCACCATCTCCAACCTAGGTAACTCTCCAAAAGTACCTCGTATGTTCACTTCTTGAGTATATCTTATTTTTCCTTTCTTAAGGCAGCATCTCATGCAGCCTTGGCTGATTTCAAACTTAGCATGTAGCCGAGAAAGATCTTGAACCTCCTGATCCTTCTGCTTCCACCTCCCAAGTGCTGGAATTGTGATCATGCACCACCAAGCCTGGATCTTTTAGATACTAAGATCTACTACACTGTCTTAGTTCATTCCCCAAGACCCCAAACATTTCCAACTTATTTGTTGCAAAATATACTGACTGGCCTCTGTGTCTATAGCCTCTGCCTTCCAGTCCTCCTCCACATTCCAACTAAAAACTCCTTCAATGTTCTTTTACAATTGAGAAGATAAAATGAAACCCATTTAGTTTGGATTCTAAAGCCCCCCCAGATGTTGGGCATTCCTTTCTGTGTTTCATCTCTTGTCATGTTTTGGTTTCCATGTTCCCTTTTGATGGCAAGTGTACTTTGGCATGAAATCCATACATGTTTCTTTTACACCAGAAAACATTTAGACCATTTCTACTTTGCCTCCACAATCCTTACTCAATTTTTAAGACTCTGCTCAGACATGGCCATATCAAGTACATAACTTTGATCTATTTAACTCAGTTAAAATTTCTATGCCTTTGAGTTTTTTTTATTAAAGTTTTCTGATACACAGTAAGCACTCAATAGTTGTTTAAAAATAGCAAACCAATCAATGAAGAGAATGGTATTGTGAGGTCTCCACATTCTGATATAATTCAGGACAGAGGGAACGTGAATCCCTTGGGTCAATGTTCGCACACAGCAGTTCCTGCTGGGCATAGCCCCGGCCTGCAAATACAACTCCTTTTTCTCCTCAGAGACACACTTGTACTCAACTCACAGTAATGGTAGTCGTAACCTCTAGAAAGAACAAGACCTCTTTGTTCTAGAAAGACAGTCTCAAGGTCCCTATGCAGGGACTGACATCATCCAGCAGGACCAGAAACCACATGGTATCGCTGTTGATGGTGTGCCTTTTGCATTAACTCTTTCCAGTTTGTCCTTCCTGTTTACAGCATTCGGGATCTGGCTATAAATGAATTTTCTGTGCTGTAATTTGAAAGATAAAATAAAAATCTTCAAATATTCCTTTAGGGCTAATATATCAAGGAGCTGGTACATATACCACCAGAGTTCTGGTATGGAACTATTCAATAATGCAATTG